GTTTGTCGTCTCCTTCTGCCCAAAGAGATAAGGAAACTTGGAATACATGTAAAGCTCTTCAAAAGCTGGAGGAGATGCATCACAAAATGGAGGAAACTGGAATGATCACTGTCCAGCAAATATGCGTTATACACAGGGTACTAATGGATGGGCTTCATGATAATGCTGGAGAGATAAGGACGACAGTAACGTACACCATTAGACCAGATGGAGAGAAGTATTATTATACACCACCTGAAAGAGTTGAGGATAGGCTATACACTGTTGTTGATCGTCATAATGAACACATGGAAGAAATACACAATTTAAATTTATCGAGAAAAGAAAAGGTTGTTATGACAGTCAAGGCTGCTGCGTGGTTATTATTGAATTTTGTAGATACTCATCCTTTCTCTGATGGTAATGGACGAATGAGTCGCTTGCTAGCTGGCTACACAATAATGATAGTCAATCCATTCCCAGTACAGCCATATCATAACAATGAAGAAACTTGTCGTTCTGATTACATTAGTGCTATTGTCCATTGTAGTGAAAATCAATGTCCATCAAGAATTGCAGCATTATTAGTGGATGGATTGTATACGAGCTGGTCTCTAGCTTAAAGACTAACCATTTAAGTAACTAATTAGACTTTTAGTTTCTATTTTTAATTTATGGTTTACCAGAACTACATGTTGAGTATTTATGCCTTGGGATTTTCTGATGGATATTGTCACCAGACTATAAATATTAATTAGTAAATCAGCTAGGTGTGAGATAAGAGGGTCATAATTAGGGTCATTCAGGCTACATGATACAGCTGAAATTCATCTAAATGTTTTCATGATGAGAAACATGACTACACAATACATAATATTTCAGTTGTGGATCTATGTTGATAATTCTACAGTTTCAGTCACAAACATTTTTTAATGGTAAATGCTAGGAGGAGAAAAGGGAGGATAAGGAAGACCTTCATATTCATCTTCATTTTCAGTTGCTTTCATTGACTCAATAGACCTAAAAGCCCAAGAATTATAAATTATTAATGATTATTTCATTAACATGTTAATTGGAAGAGACTTTTCATATGCCATGTTTGCAGCAGCTTTTATTTCATTTTTAGCAGCATAAATCTCCGATTCTTTTGCATTTTTGCTAAAAGTATAATTTTAAACTCAACTGAGGTCATTATGTTACTCACCTCAGGTTCAGAACTTTCTTTCTATAGCAAAATACTACAAATATTGTTAGTGGCACAATATTAATAAGTACAGAAATAACAAGCAATACTGATGTGATAATTATTGGATTTGCTGAACTATTTGGGCAAGTACTAGGCAGTATGGTATTGAGGATGACTATCTCACTACAGTTGCAAGAAGGAGTAGTTAATGTTGAACTATAGATATTACAGTTGACTTTTTCTAAAATATGTATCACAAAACATACCAATATGCAGGCATATATACCTGTAGCCAAATATTGAGCATCATTACCATACAGTCCAAACAAATCAAAAGTACAGTGACCATCAGAAGGTACTTCCCTTGATAGGAATGGAGGTGATGTAATAAAGAAAATAACATCATCAATTGTATCAAAAGTATCTCGACAGCTGCGTTCAATTTTGTAACCTATTGGTATTAGACGAGAGGGGGGACTCCATGTTAAAGTAATGGTATTATTTATAATCTCTGTAAATGTCAGATCATCAACAGAGGGATGTCCTATTAATTAAATGTAAACAGTGAATCTATTATGAATGTTTATACTCACTAAATGTGATTGTAACCATGCTGTTATCATTGGGTAATGATTTTACATCATCATGGCAAGATATGATTGTGAAGGTGTAAGTGGCTCCTGAGATGAGTCCTGATGTTATGTTAACTGAAGATTTCACTGTGCTTATGGTGGAATTGTTAAATAAAACTTCATAACCAGCAGCTTCTGAGACAGGAGACCAAGAGA